TACTAATATTACCAAATTTTGTGAATGTGGACATAATTTCCAACAATTGAACTCATTATGAATAATGTATTTTCTTCACTTTATGTAATGTAGTTGATATTGCTATTGAATAAATTTTGTATTGGTATTAAATATAGTTGGTATTGTATTATAATCATTACTAATATCCAAAGTAAATGCTATTACCAAAACTAAAACAAGTAACATATGATTTCACCGCCCACACGATTTATATATGAGAACACATCATGATTGTCTCACACGCGAGCAAAAGCTAAAGAAACCTAACATAATGTTTTAATGTATACAAAAACAACAAAGACTTATTATGCAAGAGAGAGAGAGAGAGAGAGAGAGAGAGACTAAGGGAAGGGGTTGTTTGTTTGGCCTCTCAATGGTCTTATAAAGAGGTTGAGCATTTTGTTGAAGCCTTTTTAACCTCTTATTCGGTAAAAGGTAAAAAAAAGCCCTTAATCGATCATATTTAGTGAGGGATCTAGATGAAAACATTATGTTGCTACCCTTTTCCTTAAAAGAAAAAAATGTTCGTCTCTTTTTTTTTTTGTTTCCCCCTTCTTCTCCAACGAGCTACTGTCTTCGATGCTTCACTGTATCGGTCTCCGACAACGCCTCTACACCTTTGGCCTCCAGCTTCCTCGCATCCTCCTTCACGCTGGTAATTGATACTCGAATTCTTTATGCTCGATTTCGGTGCTGCGTTTTATCTATGTTATTATTGTTCTCTCCATCAAGCTTCAACCACCTATTCTCATTTTTATCTATATTTTTTGTTGCATTTTTGTTGTTGGATTGTTGTGATGTTGGATTGTGTTTTTTTTGTTTGAACATTGGGGCTGTTTGTGTTTGATCTTTATTCTTGTTGATTTTGTTGCTCTATATGCTTTGAACTGAGGAAATATGTTGCTGAAATCTCCGAAAATTTGATGAAAACAAATTAAAAATAGATGTTGCTGAAATCTTATATCTTCTTGATGTGATTTTTCTTCTTTATGTTGCTGAAATATGTTATTTTCTTGTTTAATCTTTTATTGTTATTTTGTAGGCTATGCTATCAATAGCGCGCTATAGCGTTTTGCGGTGTCACCGCTATTTTGAAATAGCATTTATGAATAGCGGTGACGCTTTTAACGGTGCTATTGACCACTATTTACCACAAACCTCATCAGCGTTATAGCGACGCTACACCCGCTTTTACAATTTTGTACACATTGGGATACTTTGACAAAGAAAAAAAAATGCTTGTTTGCTATTTCAATATTAAGTCTTTATGTTTTTAATTATTTCACTCCACTTTTTGTCTTAATAAGTACAAATAATAAAGAAAATTAATTACAAACTAGAAAGCAACAAATGACAACTTCTATTTCTCGTCTCTTTCAGTATTTAGAAACCATGAATGACTTGAGCTTCGATGACGCTTCGACACTTTTTAGTTTTCATATTACCATATTAGAATATTATATATAGATTATGTTATGTTTTTATATGAATTTTTATGATATCATTTATATATAGTATTAATAATCTAATATATAAATTTTGTATAAATTTAAAATATAAATTATGCATAATTTTAAAAACCGCTATACCAGTGTTATACCACCGTGATAACCGCAAGTTCAAATAGCGGCATGTGATCGCTATTGAAATTTTTACCGTGATAATTGCTTAGGCTGTAAGTTTACTTGTGTGGTAGTTTTCTAGTTTTGTTGCTGAAATATGTTATTGTTGGGTTTTAAATATTAGACATGGCAATGACACAAAAGAGGCCTAGAATTAGTTGGAAACAAATAGAAGGTGTGGAAAAAACATTTCTTGAAGTTTGTATTAATGAAATTAGCTTACGGACGTAAATGAAGTAGTTTGAAAGCAATCTCATGGAAGAATGTAGTTCAAAGATTGAAAATAGAATACAATTTTGTAGTTGATCAAAAGCAGATGAAAAACAGATACAACTACCTAAAAGCAAAATTTGGTGCTTGGTTGAAACAGATATGACTACCTGAAGCAGTACTAGTCCTGTCACAAGAATCGAATGTTTACAAAAATCACAAGTTTAAGGGCTCATTTTAAAAAATAAAAGTCAATGAAAACTTAACCGGAAGACAATGAGAATTATACTTTTTAGATCGTTTTCCTTAGTAAGAATGAAACAAAATCGCCAAAATTTGTGTGACAGTCTATGAAAATCTTAGCATTACCGCAAATTATGATGATATTTGTTAATATGCGCTCTAAGAGAACATATAACAAACATTAATTGAAGTATTAATTAAAAGAAATATTAGTATAATTAAATATGATAAAGATTAATTATTTGTAATATTCTCATAGTTAAATATAAAATACATTAATTATAAAGAATATTACTTATAATTAATATTTATCGTATTTGATTATTGTAATATTTCTTATAATTAATGCTTGAGATACATATTAGAAAATCTCAGTTAAAGCATCCACAATGATGCGTTTAATACGGAAGTTGAATAAAATGGTATTATTCAATTGATGAAACTATATCATTACGATATGTCACATTGACATTCAATAGATTTAGAGTTCAATGACAATTAAACTTTTCAACAAGAAAAAAGAAAGTTTTTAATTCTTAAATATTTACTTTATAAAGTTCAACATAAACGCATTATAGAAAGATGATGTGGCCTAACTTTATAAATTTAATGCATTGTAGACAGCTTTATTATTAAAGATTATTTTTTGTAATTTTAATTTTATTTATAGATAAATATCGTTGAAGTAAGCGTTTTCATCATGACACCAACAAGTTGTGGGAAAATAATTAGAATAATTATATGGTTTTACTTCAAAGTTGTCTTCGATAAAGAATAATTCCACAACCGATGTAAATATCTTGACTTGTGATTAAATAAAAATACATTTGACACTATAGAAATGCCAATTTTGGTGCATATCAGTCTCATGCCACTTTTAAATAATTGAAAATTAATTTATTATTAATAAAATATTTAGCGTTAAGAAAAATAGAAAGAAACATATAATATCAAACTTAGTCTCAACTCTCAACAGATGTATCTAGTATAATCACCAACTTATATTGAAAATGTATATATATTCATAAATAAAACAACAGTAGCTATATAAATAGCAATAATAACATATCTCATCTCACAAAAGAATCATCGGAATACAAAAGAAATATATATCATAAAATGATGAATAATGATAAGAATGAAGCAGAAAATCAGTTTCTGAAGAGAGCGACGAGAGATAGAAGCATGGAGGATCCGATCACAACTCCAGAAATCGGGACAGCGAAAGCCGCTCCAGCGTCGGGAGAAGGTGCCGGCGCCATGGATTGAGCTGAGACGGTGGCTACCGCCGAGAGTGCGACGACGGCGAGAACTGAAGCTTTCTTCACAATGCTTGAAACTTGAGCCATTTCTTAGTATGAAGGTTATTAACTGTTATGTGATTGTGAATAAAAATATATAGAAATATGAGATCTGAAGAGGGGGTTTGAAGAAAGTGGAATGAGGTTATTGGGTTTTTATAGGGAGATATTAGAGTGAGAGACGTAAGCGCGTGGGAATTGTAATTCGAGTAACAACAGGCTAATTAGCTGTATTATTATATTAATCTGCTTTTAGAGGGAGCAATCACATGGGCGCATGTCTATGGTAATCATGAGTTTCCAACGGTTGAATTTTTTTATAAACGCGTACAGCTGTAGATACAGGTTGCAGATTTTCATATCTTATTTTATTTTATTTTATTTTTAACTACCGTTGGATTTTTAAATCAAGTTTGACGAATTTACCTTTGGCAGTATCTATTATTATTAGATGCGATAAAATGGCCGGGTTTTAACGTTTATAGTATTTAAAAATGGATTGGTTTCAGTGGAGTTAGTAGATTACAATTTTAATAAATATTTGTAAGAAATTTATTTAGTATTATGTTACTATTCAAGTTTTCAACGGAAAGATTCATGAAATTGTATGGTGTAAGGTTTTTACTTTTTAGTATATCTAAACTCATTCGACTTGTTTTATTTTTAGATATTTTTTTTTTAATTATCAGTTTGTTATAGATGAAATATATAATGTAGTCAACTCATTTATAAGCGAACTGATCAAAAATAATACCTAAAGGAGATTCTCGTATTATTAGGATTAATGATTAAAAACAATTTAGATTCTATATTACTATAATATAGTTTGTAGTTCAAATTATTGTCCAATTTTTTAATTTGGTCATAAAGGTTTGAAAATTTAAAAAAAATAAAAATTAACTTTATTTAAAGAAAAGTTCATCTAACTTGATAACAAAGTAGTTGTGAACTTTGCACCCATCGGAAATGAGTTACGATCAATATTTGTGATCAACTTTCTCTGTTATTACTAAAAATACATTCGTTTAAGTAATTTTAGATTTTTGGTTACAACTTAAAATTTATAACTTATACTTTTTATCCTAACTTAAAGATGAAGATATTTAACAAACTTTAATAATTTAACAAGCTTTAATATTTTTCCGTTGAACACGTCAGTCAAAACGTGCCGTGTCGTATTCGGCAAACGTAAAGCAATCAGTGGTCAAAAAGGACACGTGTCAACAAACTACTTGATTAGCAAAATCGACCGTTAGAAGTCGGTCATTATTTTCATCGCCGGGTTTTTTTTTCCAGTTCACATTTTAAAAATGGTGTATTAGGTGACCAATGTCCAGAATAAATAATGCTGTCGCAGTTCTAATATAAAATAAATAATAAATACATATAAATATAATATAATATAATATAAACAATATCAATATAAATAAAATAATGCTGTCACTTTAACGTCTCTTTCAACCCCCTTCTTCTTCTAGTAGTATAAATAAATACAACAAATTCCCCAATATCATCACCATCAAACAAACCCTAATTCTCTCATCCTTCTACACTGCTCTCTCTGCTATTTTTCTCTCAATTAATTTCTTTTGCTCGAAGAAAAATGGCTCAGCTTAGCATTGTGAAGAAGGCATCAGTTCTCGTTGTGGTGGCACTTTCCGCCGTAGCAACCGTGTCAGCTCAGGCGATGGCTCCGGCACCTTCTCCTAACGCCGGAGCGGCATTCTCTCTTCCGGCTTCAGGTGTTATGATCGGGACCTCTCTTGTTCTCTCCTTCGTCGCTCTTCTCAGAAACTGATTTTGTTTTTCTGGATCATTCGATGGGATTGATTGCGTCTGTTATTTATCTATATACAGAGTTATCGTCATTACATTATTATTCAATGTATGTATTGGATTAATTCTTTATGTCATCTTGTGTTACTGAGGCTATATGTTATATAAGAATATGAATTTGCTTTAAGTTTTTTCTGTGATTTGAATTATTTTGTTGCTATTGGATTTTACGATTGAAAACTGTGTGAGTTGTAATAAGTCTTGAACTCTGGCCAATAAAGATAAAATTACACTAATCAACTCAAGGAAAGAAACAAGTTAAGGGGTTATCTTATTGGAATTTTTTTATTAAGTATAATGACTAACACACGAAAAAATAATTACCTGGTATGAAATAATGAAAATAAAATATGATACAAGGTTTAGTAAAAAGGTAGAATATGACCTAAAATTTGGGTATAATCAATGGTTTTTCGGCCAAAGACAAATAGATAAATTTAACCATATTTTCATAAAAGTATATGATGTTTGTTTAACCAAATATGGTTCAAAGAACAACAAGGTCATTATATAGCAGTTTGCAGTATTGACAATACAATTAGATTAATTATATTTCAACAAACTCCATCTCTTTTTATTTCGATTGGTTTTCTTGAAACCATGTCCAGTTGATGAGATTTTTTTTTTTGAACAGCTGAATTATTATATGATCGATGTGAATTCTAGCTCAGTATTAGTGGAGTAATCCAACTAAAATGAAAATGATGAAGTGGGTTAGTTGATGCAGGGTTATTGGGGGATATAAGATAGCTTGGAATCCTAGATTATGAGTAGCGATTTAGTTTTCTAAGTGTCTATTTAGTGAACTAGTAAATAATAAATTAATAAATTAAAATTTAAAAATGAAAATCAGCAAAATAGTCAATTTAAGTTGGGTATCGTGAGAGTTAAAAACTAAGCATAAGGACAAACCACAAGGACCATTTATATTATTCACTCTAACTTCATTGATGTAAAACAGTACGAAGTGACAATACATAAACATTAAAAGAGAACAAGAAACCTTTGTAACAAAACAAATGTAAATAATGAAGACTCAATGAAACAAGTAAAAAGTCCACAATATTCTGGACTAAAAACTATCTTGCAAATCACGAAAATGTCATTGAGTTCCACATACACACTAGAGATCAAAAACTTTACTTATTAAGCTTAGAATTTCTATTACCGTTGCGTTTTTCTAGCTTTTCCCTTGCAACTTCAAATTCTTCTTTCACTCGGTTGCCCTCCACCGTATTAACTAACTAGAGATGAAAACATTGAGTCTATGTGGTAATAATCCAAATTAGTTTAATTAAGGAAAGTAGTAGTTTGAATTATATTAGGAGTCTTTAACTTGTTGTCTAAGTTTTACTTGTTGGTCATGACATCTAGTTTAGAAGTCTTATTTTTGTCATGAAAATGCATTTCGGTTTTAATAAGAGCTTAACAATTAAGCAATACGCTTTCTTCCTTGTTTCCATTTTTCTCCTTTGTTCGATCCTTGTTTCGGTTTTAAGCAAGGGTTTATCAAGTTAAACCCAACATTTTGTATCAAAGTGAATCGGGTGCGCAATGACAAACAAAGAATGATATGTTAACCTCTAATACAAGATGTTGTTAAAGACCAACTACGCAGCATGGTCGATAAAGATGAAGATCTACATGAAATCCCAAGAGGCGTGGCATGCCATCGAACCAAAGAACCCACAAAATTTGGTACGTGTGAAGAAAGACAATATGATAATGGTTGCCATCTATCAAGCAATTCGAGAGGAAGTATTGTTGACAATATCGGAGAGGCAATCAGAAAGGAAACTTGGGACACACTCAATTGATGTACTTGGGTGTAGATTAAGTCAAAGTAACCCAAGTTCAAACTCTCAAATCCGAATTTGAGATGTTGAGCATGTGCAAATCAGAGGTTGTGGATGACTTTTCTACAATAATTGGAGGAATTGTGAACAACAATCAAGATCTTGGCAAAACAGTGGAAGAATCATATGTTGTAGAAAAGATGTTATGTGATGTACCCTTAAAGTTTGTTCAACTTGCATCCATGAGTGTGTAATTTAGTGATCTCAATATTATGACCTTCGAACAAGTTGTAGGAAGACTAAAATCTCATGAAATTCAAAGTAATGTGCATACAGAACCAGAGGAGAAAAAGCTTTTACTTACTCATGAAGAATGGTTAGAACGAGCCAAGAAGAAAATCAATGAATATTGATCAAAGCAGCAATATAACAATAATAAATTAATAATCAAAGTGGAAGAGGACGAGGTCGTGGTAGAGGCAACTACAACAACTCCAATAAAGGAAGAGGTAGTGGAAACCAACAAAACAAAGGTAACAATAACTCGTGACAAATCCAGAGTTTAATGCTATAATTTTCAAGAGTTTGATTATGATGATGAGTGCAAAAACCAACAATGTGAGAGGAATCACGAAGCCAACCTAACTCAAGAGCAGAACAATCACACGGTGGTGAAACCAATTAGTTGGTCGGGGTAGCACTTGCTACCCCTCATTTTCTCCCCACGTATATTGAAATTTTGATATATATATATATATATATATATATATATATATATATATATTACAAAGTGTGCACCTGATGGAATCAATTATATTTTGTAGAGGACTGATGATGAGATATTTTCAATTTTAACCCTAAGGATGAAGAGTTATTGCATGTTTATCCCTTATGCATGAGGAAGCTTGCAAAATGGACACAAACCCTAATTTTCAGGGTTTGGACCCTATATTGACATCATTAACTCTCAAGTGTTCGCTCCCTCACCAACCTCCAACCCTCATTTCGTCCATTGCAACCCTAATCCCTTGTGTGTGTTCCTTTGAGCTCAAAAGTGTGTATTTGTGGTGCCTTTGAAGCAATTTGAAGAAAGAAGCATCAACTTGGAAGACCAAGACCTCATAGATCCAGGAACACCTCATCTCCAAGCTTCATTTTGAGGTATAAAGTTCTGAACTTGATGATCCTATCATTAGATCTTGCTTATGTTCAAAGTTTATGCTTTAAGCCCCATATTCTTGGTCCTTTTGAGTATGATCTACCCTAGACCCAATGAGTTGTCCTTTTGGACGTTTTAGGATAGTTAGAGTGATAAAAATATGATATTGGCTCTTAGTTCTTCCCCATGCATGAGTTTAGTGGTGTTAATGGCTTAAGATGTTGGGATTTTAAGTGTTAAGCACTTATTAGCCATGCAAGACCATAAAGTTTGAAAGTTTATGGTCAAGGACAACATTTTGGACCTATATTTGGTTTTGCACAAAAACTCTTAAGCTATTAAGCCCTTTTAAGAAGGGATTGTTGACCAGGTGCGTACGTTGGGCGTCCCAAAGGGTACAATGCACATACGTGGTCTTGACCCTGACTCCTCGGTCAAACAAAGTACGCCCCACGTACGAGGCTGGGTCGAATCGACTGGGTTGAATCGGTTGGTTTGTTAGGATCGATCAATCTTGACAAAAGGGTATTTTAGGAAATTTGGTATTAATCTAAGTTGGGTAATATGTTGGATAATAAGTGTTAGGTAGAGCCAATTTTCAGAGCATAGATTTATTCAGCTTGTGTTCAAACTGAGAGGTGAGTTTTCCTTACTGTACATGTAGGTCGAAGGCACCAATGTCGGTCCACTAGATTATGTATCATGGTTATAAGATAGTGCTATGTTAGTATATGACTGATTAGTAGATCTATATGATTATCTATATTTTTTGGTTTTGTGTTTATGTTTATCTGTTACATATGTCGACATATTGTGGTTAGGTTGAGGCGGTCCTGCTTTGTGCTTAAGACCAATACACCTAGGGCAGTACGGATAGGTTGTAGGCCCTACGAGGTGGTCCATTCAGTCAGAAGGCCCATAGAGTGGTCCAGATAGGCTGTGGACCCTGCGAGGCAGTCCATTCAGACTGAAGGATCATATTTGCATGTTATTTTTTATTGTGTTATGTGATGGTACTTTGGGGGAAATTTACTAAGCTTTGGCTTACAATTTTAGTTTATTGTTTCAGGTACTTTGGATGGTCGTGGAAAAGTGAATATCTGATCATGAACACCTTCCTATTTTCATGATATGGATTTTTGGGACACTCTGATAGGACTTTACTTTTGAAACAATGACTCTTTTTATAGAAAATGATGGTTAATGGTTGCTTTTAAAAAAATTATGATTTTTGGAGTGTTACAATTTGAAAACCATATAAAATTTTAATAAGCCACTAACATCAAAAGAAAATTCAACGCTAAAGGGAAAAATTGGTTTTCTACTTTTCTTTATTGCCCCTTGTTCACAACTACTTCCGAAAATAACTTGGCGCCTTGGCTTTTTCTTCAGTTTCCTTACTTGTTTGGCTACCTGGTTTGACTTCTTTTCCACAACTTCCAACAGTTACTTAATTTTTTTTATTTTGAATGCTTTATTATTTCAGTTTAATTTAGTTGTTCAACTTGAAAATCAAAAATTAGCTAGTTATGTGTTCACTTGTTATGTTGTTGGTGAAATTAGGTTTAGATATTTAATTGTGTTTGTCGGGTTCCATTATCTTACTATCTTTTATCGGAAAAGAAAATTTTAAGTTACCCCTTGCAAAAGCGTAAATGATGAAATTTACTTGAATGAAGAAAATGTAAATCCCAAGCTAAGATCCAATGATCAAACTCCAACCCAATTAAAAGTGTGTTACCTCGGCAACGGAGCTAACAACCACAATATTGGAGAAAAGGTAAATTTTGAAACCTTGATCTAACTATCAGAGGTTATGTCATGTTGATGATTCTCCAAAAGTAAGAATAGAGGGGACGGGTTCGATTATGTACAAGTGCTAAAATGGTGAAAGTAGTTTGATAAAAGAAGTATATTATATACCAAGGTTATACAACAGTGTTATTAGCTTGGGGAAATTGGCTAAACATGGAGACTGCATTGTGATGCATGGACTATACTTATAGATGCATGATGCATAAGGAAAGCTACGATTAAAGTTAAAGAGTCAATTAACCTTTTGTACAAAACCACACTAGAAGAAGTAGAATTGATGTGTTTAGTTGAAAGGCAAGGCGACCATCTTTGCTTTAGCACAAACAATTTAATCATGTAAACTTCAATGCATTAAAACACTTGGTTGGTACAAAAATGATAGATAGTTTGCCCAAAGTCGAAGTACCTACTCGCTTGTGTGAAGCTTGCATGATGTCCAAACAAACTCTAAAAAACTCTCCAAAGCAATCTAAGTTTTAAGATAATGATCAGATAGAAATCGTGCATGAAGATCTTTGTGGTCCGATAACACCACCAACACTAGTCGGAAACATGTATTTTATGCTACTTTTTGAAGATTATAGACAATTTATGTGGGTTTACATGTTAAAAAAATAAAAATGACACTTTAAATGTTTTTAAGAATTTTAGAACACAAGTTTAATACTAAAAACCTTTCGAAACGATCAGGTGGTGAATTTATGTTCACACAATTCACCACATATTGTAATGAAACTTGATTAAAACATCACTACACAACACCCCATTCCCCACAACAGAATGGTGTTGTAGAAAGGCATAACCTTATGGTAGTAGAGATGGAGAGAAGCAATTTGAAAGGTATGAATGTTCCAAAAAAACCCTATGGGGGGAGCAGAGTTGAACCATGCAATCAACATTCTAAGTTAGATAACCATAAAAGCCTTGAAATATTCAACACCTTATGAGTTATGGACGAGTCAGAAACCAAACATCGATCATGTAAGGGTGTTTAAGCAAAAGTAGTATGAACACACCAAAAAAACTCGATGATAGAACTAACAAGCTGGTACACTTTGGAAAAAAGGGGAAAAATGGTTGTTAACTACTCAATCCAGCTACGGGGATAATTTGATTAGGAAAGGATGTAATTTTAAAAGATGAAAGAAAGTGGGACTGGGGACCTAAAACAAAGTTCAAAGAAACTACTGGAGGAAAATTCAATTTTGATACCGTGTTTGACATCGAGGATCAAAAAGAAGATATCTATCCATATACAAATTTTTATGAAGACATTAAATCACAAGGCAGCCCGGTTACATCTCAATCATCACTTGAAAGTTCACCCAAAAGCGAAGGCCCAAAAAATATTGAAGCTTGGCCGATATTTATGAAGATTGTGATGAACTTATATTTCTACAAGATGAAGAAGAACCATAATTTTTATCAAGTGCAAGTGAAAGTGAAGATTGGATGGAAGCAATAAAAGTGAATTAAGTGCAACTGATATAAACAAAACATTGAGTTTTGTTGAGCTACCAAAAAATAGAAGACTCGTCGGCTTAAAATTGGTATACAAGATTCAAAAAGATCCAAAAGGAAGAATATTAAAGTACAAAGCGAGGCTAGTTACTAAAGGGTATGTGTAGAAAAAAGGAATTGATTTTAATGAGGTGTTCTCACATGTTACTCGACTGGAAACAATTTGAATTATACTAGCTCTTACAGCTTCTAATGGATGGACTGTACATCATCTTGATGTAAAATTTGCTTTCTTAAACGGAAACTTAGAAGAAGTTTATGTAACACAAACAGAGGATTCGTAAAGAAAGACAAACCAAAATTTGTGTACAAACTGGCAAAAGATTTGTATGGTTTGGGGCAAGCTCCACGAGCTTGGAATTCTTAATAAAATAAATACATGAAAGGAATGGGGTTTGAAAGATTTCCACAAGAATATACAGTTTACATGAAGATATAGAAAGGAATCATGCTTATAATCGGCATTTATGTCGAGGATCTCATTGTCACCATAAATCATAAGGATGAGATAATTAAGTTCAAACAA